CCTGGTATGCTGCAGTCCATGGGGTCCACAAAGAGTTGGACACAACTGAGAGATTGAACTGAACTGAACTGATACCTATGTAAATCATCATTGGTCATTAAGTTGAAATGTTTATTATTTATGTATCATATAATAAAATTATGTTTCTAGTTAAAAAATAAGTATAGAAAAATTTTTGTTTACAATAGAGGCATGATTCGGCAATGACTCTAGAAGTCAGTGCTGTGACCAGAGCAGTAAAGAAAAATAAAGGCCTCAAGAAATTACATCACAGCTATCATGAGGTTGAATAGCAATTGCAATTTGCTGTGAGCAGAGGAAACCGCCAAAGCTGTCTGTTGATATCTGATGATGTCGCTGTTCTGTGACTTACATGCTGTGTTTGTTTGTGTTTTAAACATTTCTCTGTTTTCATTTCTAACAGGTGGATAGAACAAATATAGTCCACGAAAAAGTGCTCTGTTGTTTTCAATAATTTCAGAGTGTAGAAGAAATGGCAACCCACTCCAGTGTGCTTGCCTGGAGAATCCCATGGACAAGGATTCTGGTGGGCCATAGTCCATGGATCACAAAGAGTCGGACACGACTGAGCAACTAACACACACTAAGGGGTTCCGAGATGAAAATGTTTGAGAGCTGCTGACCTAGGGCACAGAGAAGGCAAAGCTAAGGTGGAGAGTTCCTGAGGTGTTGGGAGCCAGCAGGGTTCATTAGAACAGTTGAAAATGAGGAAAAACACTAGACATTTCTAATTGGCCTTAACCATTAGGAGACGTCATCTTGTCTCCTTTCCCTGTCTCCTCCTGTCTCCCCTGCACCCAGGTCCTCACAGGAAGGGCCCTGCTTGGCCTGCTGTGCTGAGCTTGGGATCAGAGGATTCTAACGCTAGGCTTGTTGTTGCTGTTTAGTCACTAAGTCGCGACTGACTCTGCGACCCCATGGACTGCAGTCCGCCAGACCCCTCTGTCCATGGGATTCTCCAGGCAAGAATACTGGAGAGGGTTGCCATTTCCTTCTCCAGGGGACCTTCCTTACTGAGGGATCGAACCTGCATCTTCAGCTTTGACAGGTGGGTTCTTTACCACGGAGCCTCCAGGGAAGCCAGATTTAGGCTCCTCACTCCTTTATCTGAATCCAGACTGAATGGTCCTGTGTGCAGTTTCCCAGGGCCATAGTGTGAGTGGAATATAAGGGTTGATGAGGTGATTTTCTCAGGAAATCTGCGTCTTTTAACAGATGATGTTTGAAGACACAGTCACTTCGTTCAAGAAAGTGATTATTTTTATCAGATGAAAGAGAAAGGAGGAGTAGGTAGAAACCCACTCTGAATAGTCTGGGAATTCCTGTGGACTGAGTCACAGACTTCATAGAGTTAAAAACAGAGGCTCCTTAGAAGGACAGCAGCAAAAGGCAGTCTCCGTGGCAGCTCTGGAACTCTGGGGACTGTCCCTGTTGGCGCCGCTCCGCCCCTCCTCTGGCTCTGAGGAGCCCCACACAACTCCAGGGGCCAGTGGTGTGGCCGTGATCGACCAGGGCCATCTACAGCTTTGCAGGCTCTGACAGTTAACCAGCAAGCCGCACAGGATGGAGGCGACCTTTAAGAGATGGAAGGCTTGAAGATAACAGATTTTATTTCATAGGCATTATCATGGGAGAGAGAGTCTATTTCCATTCTTCTTTTCCCACTTAACTGGCAGCATCTTCTCTATCACTGTTTTGTTTTGTTTTAACTGGAGGACAATTGCTTTACAGGGTTATGTTGGTTTCTGCCTGCAACAACCCCAATCAGCCGTCCTCCCTGTTGAGCCTCCCTCCCCTCCTGCACCCCGCCCTCTGATCATCATGGAGCACCAGGCGGGCCTCCCTGATGCACAGCAACTTCTCACCAGCTATCTGTTGGACACATGATCGTGTATGGATGTCACCACTGCTTTCTTCATTCATCCCCCTCTCTCTTCAAAATATACTCTACTTTTTAGAGCAGTTGTAGGTTCACAGCAACACTGAATGACGAGTACAGAGTTCCCATAGACGTTCTGTCCCCTGACACACACACACATCCTTCCCCACGACCAACATCCCACAGCAGAGGGGTACATTTGTTACCACTGGTGAACCTCTGTTGACACATCTGAAGTCCACAGCTTCTTTTAGGGTTCCCACTAGAGGTGAAGAATCCACCTGCCAATGCAGGAGACATAAGAGATGCTGGTTCAATCCCTGGGTCAGGAAGATCCCCTGGAGGAGGGCATGACAACCTGCTCCAGTATTCTTGCCTGGAGAATCCCATAGACAGAGGAGGCTGGCGGGCTACAGTCCAGGGGGTCACAGAGTCAGACAGGACTCAGGGAAACAAAAACAACAGATGTCCTGGAAGTGATGCCTGGAGGACATTGAGGGACCCATACAGCAGGGCCTTTTCAGAGTGGTGTCTTCGCTGTGATTTCTGCCTTCTGCACTGTTTGGGTCAGCTTAATTTTACCCATGCAGAAGCAGATGGTGGTTGATACAGAAAATGAAAAAGCAAGCTATAAAATGTAGCCTGGAGAAGTCTTGCTCCAGCATCAGAGGGTGATAAAGCCCTGAGGTAGGGAAGGAAAGAGGACCCCATTGTTTGGAGAGCTGTGTAGAGTGCTGAGGAGGGGGCTCAGAGTTTGTGCAGGGCTTTGCAGGGCAGTTTAAGGCACTGGATTTAAAAAAAAAAGCAATAGGAAGCTATTGAAGGGTTCTGAGCAGAATACTTAGATCTCATTTACATAAAAAAATAACACTCCAACTGGGGAGAAGTGGTTGTAGGTGGATACATGAGTCGTTCCTCTGTTAGGGAACTATTACAGTAGCCCAGGCAAGAGATGATGGTGGTTTGATGCAGAGTAATATCCATGCTGATGGTGAGAAGTATTAAAACTGAAGGTAGAATACCACAGAGGGCTTTACAGGTGGTTCACTGGTAATGAATCCGCCTGCCAATGCAGGAGACAGGAGTTTGATCCCTGGGTAGGGAAGATCCCCTGGAGGAGAATGGCAACCCACTCTGGTATTCTGGCCTGAAGAATCCCATAGACAGAGGAGCCTGGTGGGCTACAATGGGGTTGCAAAGTGTTGGACATGACTTAGTGACATGATTTATCCACTAAACAGCAATGGGCAACAGAATAGCTCAGATTTCTTAATGGATTGAATAGAGGTATAAAAGGTGGTAAGAGAGACAGAGGGACAAGGAGAGAAAAGAGAAACTTGACTTGTTGGTTTCAGGAACTGGCAAATTTACCAAAATGTGAAGATTAAGATGGGGTGGTGTGTATGCTCATGGGGTGGTGGAGGGAGAAGCGATGTCTCACACATTACAGTTCCCTCAACACTGTACACTGAAAATTTTCAAAGAGCAACTGGGGAAGACTTTTACCAGTTGTGAATACCCACATATGACATCTACAAGGGCCATCTTACTGTATTTCTATCCATGTTCTTCAGCCCATCTTACTTTAAAAACATTTTTTTTTTAATTAAAAATACTTATTTAGGCTGCCCTGGGTCTTAGTTGCAGCACATGGGATCTTTAGCTGTGCCATGTGGGATTTATTTCCCCGACCAGGGATCGAACCTGGGCCTCCTACTTTGGGAGCCCAGTGTCTCAGCCACTGGGCCACCAGGGAGTTCCCTTACTTTCGCAATTCATTTCAATTGCGGACATCAACACACTTCCCTCCTCATACCTCAGCACACAGGTCATGTATTTCCAGTTTCTTGCTTTTGACCGGCGCCTGTTTACACCTGAAACTTGAGCTGCCAAAAGGACATCAAGGTGGCATAATCAAATGGGCTACTGGATGCAAGCGCCTGAAGCTCAGATTCAGAACACAGATGTGACTGAGCTCTTGGACTGGATGAAGTCAACCAGCGGTGCAGACGAAAGAGATTCTGGCAGAGCTGTCTGTGGGAGCGCCGACCCTTGAGGTGGTCAGCAGTCAGCCCAGCCCTGATCCTGAAAAGCGGGTCTGCTTCGCGCCACCCCGCGGCCCTAGGTGACCATCGGAGGTGACCCGCGGAGTCACCGCGTGGCAGGGAGCAGGGGGAGGGAGATGTCCCTAGGTCACCATGGGAGGTGATCCGCGGAGTCACCGGGTGGCGGGGGTGGGGTGGGGGGACCCCTAGGTCACCCTGGGAGGTGACCCAGGGTATCACTGTGTGTGGGGGGGGTACTAGGTCACCATCTGAGGTGACCCAGGGTGTCACTAGGTGGGGGGGTGTCCTAGGTCACCATCGGAGGTGACCCAGGGTGTCACTAGGTGGGGGGGGTGTCCTAGGTCACCATCGGAGGTGACCCAGGGTGTCACTAGGTGGGGGGGGGTCCTAGGTCACCATCGGAGGTGACCCAGGGTGTCACTATGTGGGGGGGGTGTCCTAGGTCACCATCGGAGGTGACCCAGGGTGTCACTAGGTGGGAGGGAGGGCGGTCCTAGGTCACCATCTGGAGTGACCCGAGGAGTCACCAGGTGGGGTGGGGGGGTGCTAGGTAACCATCGGAGGTGACCCGCGGACTCACCGGGGGCGAGGGGCGGGGTGCAGGGTTGGGCACCCCCGGCCGGGCGGGAAACCCGGAGGCGCGGTGGCCGCGGGCGCCGGCGGCGGGCGGGGCGGGCGGGAGGGCGGAGTCGCCGCAGCGGCCGGCCGCGGGCGGGGGAGGGTGTGTGCGCGGGTCACATGGTCGCTGCTGCCCTCCCGTCAGCCGCCCTCGCCGCCGCGGTGCGCTGGCTGCAGGAAGCCGCCGCGCCGCCGCTTTGTTGTCGGGGCCCGCGAGGAGCGCCGCCCGCTGCCGCGCGCTCTCCCCGAGTCTGCTTTCCGGCCCCGGGGCCCGGCTGCGGGCCCCCGCGCGCCCCGCCTATGAGGGCGCCCCGCGACCACCGCCGGCGGCGGCCCGGGGCGGCGCGACGCTGAGGTAGCGGCGGGGGCGCTGCCCGCTCTGCGGACGGGCGGCCTCGGGCCTCCCCGAGGGCACCATGGAGGTGAATGCGGGTAAGAGCCGACAGGGCGGGGGGCGCGGCGGCGGGCGCGCGGGGCCGGCCGGCGGGCGGGCGCGGCGGCGGGGCCCCCTCACGGGCGGCGGCGCGGGGGAACCCTCCCGGAGCCCGGCGCTCGGCGCCCCCCAGGCCGCCCTCCCGACCGCCCGCAGCGCCGCAGCGCGGCGGCCCGGCCCCCCCCTCACATGGCCTGGCCGCGCGAGCCACGTGCGCGCTGTGTTTACGTTCGGCGGCGCGCGGCCGCCGGTTGGCTGAGCGGGCGCGTGACGCGGCATTACATAATGGGCGCCGGGGCGGCGGCGGCGGGCGGGGACACGTGAGGCCGCGCGGCTCCGTGACCCACATTCGCGGGCCGCGGGGGCCCCTGGGGGCGGGCGCGCGCCGGCGGGAGGCCCCGCCCCGCGGGAGGCCCCGCCCCCGCGCCCTCGGGCTCTGACGTGGCCGCCCCTCGCCCGCGGGGTCGCTAGCTGAGGGGAGGCGGCGCGTGCGCGCCCCGGGGACCCGCGGGGCTGGAGGCCGGGAGAGCGCGGACGCCGCAATGCTCTCGGCCGGGGCGGAACGGAGAAGGCGGGCACTGAGGGGGCCCTGGGGGCTGACGCGGGGCTTCCCCGACGTGGGACCCTCTGGCTTCGCCTGGGGACGGCTCGCCGGGGGTGCCTCAGTTTCGTCTCCACAACAAAGAAGAACCCTCACCGTTTCAACGACCTCCTGGGGTCGCGGTCGACCTTGTGAAACACCTCCAGTGACGAATATGCCCGCGGCGCCTGCGGGCCGGGAGCCTCACTCTGGCCGTCCCCGCCCGGTGACCCCCAGTGACCCCCAGCTTGCTGATCTTTCCTGAATCTGATAACAGATTTCTTCCCCCACCCTGAGGGCTGGGGATCTTAGTTTCTCAACCAGGGTTGGAACCCGGTCAGTGAGAGCCCTAACCGCTGGACAGCCTGGGAATTCGCATGATAACAGATATGACCTTATTAATCCTTTTCTTGTCGCATTTCCCGTTGCTTCCCCACTAGGGAGCAATATTAGGGTCCCTTCTGCCCTTTTTTTGCCCCCGGCCCGCAAAGGGAGAGTCCTTTGCTCGAATCCAGTGAGGCTGCAGAAGCAGCCAGTGATTGTTCGAAAAGCCGTGCCCCGGTAACAAATTGTGAACTTTCCACCAACAGTAAATAATAATGTCTTTTAATTATTTGTGGGCCTACATAACCTTGAGGATAGTTTAAGAATTTGAGCAACTCTGTTATGGAATAAAACTTTTACTTGCTGGGGATTTTGAGATTATGAAATTCATCCTCCTCTACCTCAGCATAAATGAATTCTTCTAGTTTTGAGATCGGATAAGGTTAGAAAGTTTTTCTCAGATTTGAACCTTCGTGGAAGGTTATCACAGATCTTAATTTTGATTTTACGATGTGTTTACAAACTGTAACATTTTCTTGGGAGGATTGCTGACTCCCCCAACCCCCTTCCATATCCAGTTCACATCCCTTGGTCCTTGCTCCGTGGTTTTTTTTTTTTTTTTTGCCCCCTGATCATCATCCTTGTTGCCCTTTGGCATGTGGCATCCAGAGGTGGAAGTCGTTGAACAGTTAATGACTGCTGTAAATGAGCTGTCTGGCAGGTTGGGCTTTTGTGGCATACTGCTTTGCTGACTCACAGTAACCTTGCAGTCAACTAGACCCTTTTCATGTGAACTGTTTTGGAGTTAAGTTTCATCCCTTGTGCAGATAATTGTTTGATCTGAACTGTAGGAACTTGCAATTATCTTTCTTAAATTTTCTCTTTTTCCATTTGGGTACAAGTTCAAGCTGTTATCTGCTGTAGTGTTTCTGCCATCCCTCTGTCTGAGGGAACTTAAATAAGCATTCCCTTTCGTTTCCTTCACATTTAACTTGCCCAGGGTGAGGCCAAATTCAGTGCTGGTGGCAGGCCTCTGGCCCCTCCCTTTGGGTTGATACCATTTTATTAGTCAATACATATTCACCCAGTGACCTTTTGGTGTAACGGCCCTATATATCATGACTCATTGTGTGACCCTTTCTGTGACAAATACAGAGGAGAAATAGTGAAGCTGTGGAAATTGACTTGATTCATTTTTGTCAGAGATTTTGATTGAAGTTCTTTAAATACCATTCTACTTGATGTTTTTACTCTAAAGGTAACTGCATACTCACTTGGAGAGAGAAACAGTAAGATAATGGGAAGAATTCAAAGTGAAGAAGGAAGGTGCCTGACTAGACAGTGGAGTTGAGGAATTCAGAAGGTGGCCTGGAAATAAGAACCTGCAGAGAAATCTGGGTCCACATGACAGATTCAGAATTGAAGGACAAAGAATGGATAGGGAGGGTTAGATTTGTTTGAATTATTGGGACCCAACTCTCCCAGGATAATGATGGTAAAATAATAATCACCAGTATCTGTGGAGCGTTTGCATGTTATATATGGGCCCTGTACATGTGTTGCTGTTTTGCGCCTCCCCTTAACACTGTCAAGGAAGGTGCTGTTGTCACTGTCGAAGGGGAGGGTCTAAGTTCCATAACTCACCCTTAGGGGCAGGTCGGAGAAATCCCCTTGGGGAGCACAAACTAATGACTGTGCTGTAGTCACAGTTGGGGTTGAAGCCCACGTCACTCCTAAAGATGCACGCGAAGCTTGGGGGTCCTGCCTCTTTGGGGGTGAGGGGACACTGAGTAGATGCCTCAGTGCATGGTATAAGGGTCAGCAGAGCCTCCCACTTTCATGTTCCTCTTTTTTAATCTTGTTGCTGGTCCATTAGGGTTTTTCCCTCCAGGGTCTAGATTACTCTTGTCCCCTCCCCACCTTTCCAGCAATTTACTTGGAGACAAGAACTGTGTTTTTCAAAATAAGACCTATTTGTTTTTGTTTTCTTAAATAGTCTCTTATGTGGTATATCATTTAATCGCTTTCATATTCTTTTAAAACCCCGCATGTTGTCTGTTACCTTAGCTCTGGATCCATGGCTTCTGTAGTGCCCTGTGCTCTCAGTATGCTGTGTGGTGTGGCTCACGTCGTGTTGGAATGAAAGGTTGACAGCTGGCTCCCCAGTGGTCTGTGAAGTGCTCTAGGGGGGGCACCATCTTGCTCTCCGGAGCCCTGACAGTGGGACCCAACTGGAAGTTTAGGGCTTCGTTAGGTCCACTCGGTCATACCGTGAGTAGAAGTTATTGAAAACCTGCTTTTAAAATGAGAAAACTCATAAAACTTATTGAGTAAACATGTTTTGTTCTAAGTCACAAGGCAAAAAAAAGTCCAGTCATGACTTGATCTCAAGCATGTATTTTCCAGGGTGGTGGGCAGAGGGAGTGGGGTGGCGGTGATGATGGGCCAGCCTGGAATCTGGGTGAGAAAAGCCTAGGCTGTGTGAGGACAGCGAGTGCTTCCCAGCAGTACAAAGTTGGATGTTGACTTCTGGATTGTCTGAAACTGACCACTGGGTAAGCCTGAGCCTGGGAACCTGGCCCAACTCCAGGATCCTTTTCAACTAAAAATAGAGACAACTCAGCCTCAGCTAATTTTAGCTTGAGGCATCTGAGAAGTATATTCTGCCTGCTTTTGAAGGTGTTGGGACTTGCTGGTTCAGGGATTTTACCTTTCTTGCATTTTCGTTAAAAACTCTCTGTAAAAAGGCACTTATTTTAATAGTTCCCTTTTATGAACATCATTTCATTTCAATCTTATACTAACTCTGGCAGATATCCCCATTTTCTATTAATAGAAGATGACTTGGGTTTAGAGAAATTGAAAGTGACTTGCATGCAGAGGACTTCCCAGTAGGAAGATAATAGTCTGCTCTGGAATTGATATTCAGCCCTGGCCCTGCCACTTGGTAGCTGTATTAACCTCTCTGAGCTCCTCTTCTGTAGACTGGAATAATGGAAGTTAATTGTATAGGATTCTTATGAGGATTAAACGTGGTGTGAAATTGTGTCATTTTATTCTCGACATTTTATTTATTTTTGGCCAAGCTATGTTTTTCTTGCTTCTGCACGGACTTTTTCCAGTTGTGGCAAGTGGGAATTACTGTTGATTGCGGTGCATGGGCTTAGTAGTTATGGCACATGGGCTTCATTACTCTGTGACAAGTAGATTCTTCCCAGACCGGGGATAGAACCCGTATCCCCTGAATTGGCAGGTGGGTTCTCGACTACTGGACTTCCAGGGAAGTCCTTATTTTCAGCATTCTTGCTGACTTGTAGTCTTCACTTCCCTTCTTCATCGGGTTAAAGAACTGCTAGATGTACATCTTACCTTCTAGGAAATTAAATTTTAACCTTCTTGGGTCGCTAATCATCAGGTTGGTAGCATGATGTTGGTTGATGCTAAGACAACTACATCAGTGTTGAAGGTCTTGCTTAGAGAATGTAGCTGCTCCTTGATGGGTCATCTTTGGTTCCATGGTTCCTGGCACAATTGCTGGTTGTAAATGATTATTAATTCCCTAAAGACAGGAGTTGGATCTTAAGTGAATTGATTAAGTAATTTTTTTTATTATTTTCAGTGATTTTTCTTGGGTTTGATTTTGGAACTTTTGCAAAGGAAGGTGTGTTTTGAGTAATTAATACCTTTCATTGCCCAGTCAACTTTAAAGCACTTATCAAGCCATCAGAATAGCTTGGATCTCCACTCAGAAGAACTTGTGGATGTAAATAGCTGACTTAAATCCTGGCCCTGGAAAGGTCTAACTTCCTGACCTTATCCTCTTGAGATGTTAGTGAATTTGCTACCTAAAGTAGTAGTTTAGTCTCTAAGTCATGACTGACCTTTTTGCCACCCCAAGGACTGTAGCTCACCAGGTTCCCCTGTCCATGGGATTTCCGAGGCAGGAACACTGGAGTGGGTTGCCATTTCCTTCTCCAGGGGATCTTCCTGACCCAGGATTGAACCCATGTCTCCTGCACTGGCAGGCAGATTCTTTACCCCTGAGCCACTAGGGAAGTCTCCCACTACCTAAAGTAGTCCTTTAGAAAAGATAAATGGCTGTGAGAGCTTCTTTTGGGGATTTAATTGAGGAATAAGGATAATCTTTTTCTTTGTATCCTATTCTCAGTGGAGATAAATACGAAAAAAATATCAGTTGCTACCACCTGGGATTTCTAATGTGATCTTCAAATCTCTGAAATTTTATGAAAACAGTGGTGATTTTACCTAGCAACATGACATTTGAGAGACTTCAAGGTTGAAATAATTTTTCTTTGGATTCACAGTATGTTAGGGATATTCAGGCAGTTAGTGAGAAGATCAGCCTTGAAAATTATGGGCTAATTTGTGCTTGAATTTACTAATTGTAGCCATTCTTAAACTTCTGCCTGCAAAGACTTGCCTTGAGAACTTGTTCAAAATGCTCATTCCTGGACTTTCTGGGTGGTCCAGTGGTTAAGAATTTGCCTTGCCACAGAGCAACTGAGCCCATGAGCTACGACTGCTGAGCCTGTGTTCTGAGCCTGTGCTTCGCGGCGAGAAAAGCCACCGAAATGAGAAACCCACACGCTGCAACCAAGAGTAGACCCTGCCCGCCGCAACTAGAGAAAGCGTGAGTGCAGCACAGAAGACCCAGCATAGCCAAAAAAAAGTTCATTCCTGAGGGTGCCTTCTCCAGTTCGAGCAGGGTCTTGGAAATGTGTATTTTGAGAAAAACACTAGGGGGGGTTTTGATGCGTATTTCACATAATCTCTTTGGATAGTGAGAGTAAACTCAAAGTTAGGACTCTTCCTTGTGTTTGGAGTATTGAAGAGTCTTCAGATTTTAAAATCAGTGTTAGATAAAATTCTTGTTAGTAAGATTACCCTTGGTTGCTTTTTCTCCCATTGAGCACAGCTGAAGTCATTGACTTATAACAGTGACTCAGACTTCACTGTGCATTGGAAGAGTGAGACCTGAGAACTTATGTTTCTAACCGAGTTCCAGGTGATGCTGAAGCCACTGGTGCAGGACCAAGCCTTGAGAGTGACCGGTGTGTATGGGTAGGGACCAGGTTGCAGGACAGGTATTAATCCTAAAGCTCGGGCTTCACTCTGGGCAGGTGGGAAGTGCAGGTCACGGGCATCTGGAAGTGGGTCAGACTTTAGGAAAAGCGGATTTGCACCTCCAGCTTCAGTGCCGATGTCAGGTATATGCTTCCGGAATGGAAAAGTGGATGGAATTGTCCACGTTGTATTTTTTGTCTTTTTAAGACTCAAGTGCAGATAAACAACAAGGTTCTTCTGTATAGCACAGAGAACTATATTCGATATCCTGGGGTAAACCATAATGGAAAAGAATTTGAAAAAGGATGTGTGTGTGTGTATATATATGTAACTGAGTCACTTTGCTGTATAGGAGAAATTAACACAACATTGTATATCAACTATATTCAATAAAAATTAATTTCAAAGATGTACGAGCAAGACGATTAAAAAGACTCAAGTGCATTTAGCTGCGCTGTGCACTTTGTGTATGATGAACACCGTTGTGTTTCTCTTGGCACAGTTGGCACCTGTTCTCACTTCTTTTCTGGGTTATAACCAGAGCACTGTGGTTGTGGCTCTACTTCCTAGGGGCTTCTGAGTCTGGAATTGTGTAATTGGTACTTAAATACATGTCTGGTTCCTCACGTCATCATGACAGACTAAAAGTGACTTATCCCTCTGCCTTTTTTTCCTTCTCTGTAAATGGAAATGACTTTCTGTTCTTTGGAATTGATTTGGCCTTAGCATTTTGCTGTGTGTGTGTGTGTGTGTGTGTGTGTGTGCGCGCGCATGTATATACTTGAATATCCTATAAAGTCTGGCTGTTATTTAAAAAAAGACTGGGGTGTCTTTTCCCTTTAGCAGACAAAGCATTTGTTTCAGAATGAATGCTTACATTGCAGTTGTTACTTTGGGAACCTGTAAAATCCTTCACTTCAGAATAGTCATCTCAGGTTGTTCTCAGAAATGTCTTTCACTTGTTACTGCCATGGAGTCTCAAAAGAATCAAATGCCACTTAGCAACTCAACAACAACAGCTGCAGTAATATTTTATACTGTTTCGATCTGCCCATGATATTAGATGTGGGCTTTACAAAGGCAGAAAAGTAGGTATTACAAATAATTTATGTCTTGGAACTTCCCTGGTGGTCCAGTGGTTAGGATTCCATGCTTCCACTGCAGGGGGCACCAGTTTGATCCCTGGTCGGGGAAGTAGTATCCCACATGCCACATGGCACAGCCAAAAAAATAAAGAAAAAATTTATGTCAGACTTTTATCTGTAAAGCATGTATAGACACTCTGCACCTAGGTACTTGTAATCTCTCTTGTTGAGAAGTAGATGGAAACAGGTAAACAGTAGGTTTATATAAGAGTTCAAGACAGTGATGGAAGAGAGATAATTAACGTTTGTATGTGGTACACATTGAAAAAGCCAGTAAATGTTGGCTGATGATGGAGGAGAGAAGAAAAGAAACCATAAGAGGCCTTGGCGGAGAAGATGAAAATTACTTGTTTGGCCTGGGATTTGGAAAAATAATACTTTTGGTCATGAGGTTACTCTTGAAGCATTTTATCACTTTCAGGGAAGAAGTCTGAAATTATACCCTGAGAGTCATTTTAAGTGCTATTTCTTAAGCTGAAAGGTTTGCAGTCTCTTAAGAGGTCAGGGCCAGTTTCAGGGGGAGTTGTGGAGTTTATCCTAATGAAGTGAAGAGTGTCCTGAAGGTAGCTCTGTGAAGGGGGAGTTGGCTTAGAGCGTGCCCTCCACCTTCCAGCCTCTTTGACACTCATGTAAACAGTGAGTCAGAAGAACAAGTGGTGCGTCTGGGTTTCTCAAGAGCTGCGTGGAGAGGAGTGTGTCTGCAAGTCCAGTGGCAGGAGTAGGTGGAGAAGACAGGTGCGGAAGTGGGGTTCAGTGGGTAGTCGTGGGGTCTTTGGGGAGCATCAGAACACAGACTGTGAGAGCGACAGCTGTGAAAGGCCTTGTGTTTCCAGATAGATTCCTTTATCCGGAGTTCTACATGTTACATCTGTGCTTCACTGACCTGTGTTTTAGCCAGGTGCTGCAGGGTGGGGTGGGTAAGGGATGGGCCCGCTGTTCTGGGACGGTGTCCTGTAAGGGGATAAGAAAGGAGGCAGAGAGGGGACCAGAACCAGGTTTCCTCACGGCCCAGGCAACGTGATGACTGGCTTTGCTGTCACTCAGGACAGTCTTCCATCCCCTTTTAGGAGTAGTTTGGAAAATGAAAACCTTTTAAGGTTGGATCAGCACATGCTGAGAGCCAGTGAGAGCCTGCCCACTTTTTAAACCAGTGGGAATTTTATAGCTTTGAACTCTATGGAAGCAAGACTAGTAGGAAATAGGGAAGAAAATAAGCTACTTTTCCCTTTTGCGGTAATTTTGATCATTAACCTGTTTTCCAGAGTTAGTGACTTTACCATTGAGATTTGTGAAAATAGAAAATATGCATTATCATGTGTCTAATTACCTGATTTCCCGTCTTTTCCAGGAGGTGTGATTGCCTACATCAGTTCTTCCAGCTCAGCGTCCAGCCCTGCCTCTTGTCACAGTGAGGGCTCCGAGAATAGTTTCCAGTCCACCTCCTCCTCTGTCCCGTCTTCTCCAAACAGCACTCACTCTGATAGCAATGGGAACCCCAAAAATGGTGATCTCTCCAATATTGAAGGCATCCTGAAGAACGATCGAATAGATTGTTCTATGAAAACCAGCAAATCGAGCGCCCCTGGGCTGACAAAGAGTCACAGTGGAGTCACAAGTGAGTTGTCTGGTTTTCTGGCAGTTGATGCCACGAGTGCGGCTTACTTTATCACCTGCTCATTTGGTGGGGACCATTTTATTTCTGGGTGTACTTTTCACCCCCTTCTGGGTAGTTACAGTTTAGTAGTTATTAAGAAATCAGTGATGACCTGAATTAAAAGTTTCAGCCTAGGGCCTGTCTTAATTAATCGGTTCTCTGTGGTGAGGTGGTCCGGCTGCCTGTGTTTCCCCTCAGGTGCCCTCTTAGCTTCCACAGTTGTCTTTCTTCTGCCCTCCTAGTGCTGACTCTGGTTTCTAGAATGGAGCACTCACGGAAAGGAGCTTGCTTTCATGAAGCCTGGTGCTAGGAATGTTTGGAGGGTTGGAACATCCCACAGAGTAGTGGGAATGTGGATCCATGAGTGAGTGCAGAGGTCACAGGCTGGTTCAAGGTGGGGTCAGGAAGGGTTGGCACCTGGCTCTGCCCGCAGGTGGGTTGGACTCTCTGCACAGCGGCCTGTGGAGACCCCACCTTGCACCTTTTGTTGGTTGACGCCCCTGGCGCTGATTCCTTGACTCTTATCCGGCAGAATTGTTTTCTTAGTTCTGGTTGCATATCTGATGTAGAGTAACTCTAGATTTACAAAATTTCAGCGTATGTCCAGAATCTTCAGCTCTCTGAGAGAGTTTTGGCCATGCCATAAGGCGTGATTTCTTTTGATTCATCAATTTGGTGTAAAGATTTTTCTCTGACATTATCAAAGTATGTTGTGTATTTTTTAAAGTATTTATAAGTTGAACAAAATACAGTACTCTATTGGAAAGAAATAATTTTAGCTTTTCTTCCAGCTTTTCACTTTTCTGTCTATTTGTGCTTCAGAATTCAGTGGCATGGTTCTCCTGTGTAAAGTCTGTGGGGACGTGGCCTCAGGATTCCACTACGGCGTTCATGCTTGTGAAGGCTGTAAGGTAATGCATGCTTTATTTGTTTAAGCTGCCGATTCTGGGATTAAAGAAATTACATGGTCGATAATCTGGAAGGAGAAGAGAAGTCAGCTGCTCCTTAAAGTTTTGAGCATTTTATGTAGTGTACAAACATAACTCATTTTGAAAAATATATTTTAAAACTACATTTTAAATATATTTAGTATTTCTTTTTTTTTTTTTAGTATTTCTTTTTCCTTTAAGATTTTGATCGAAATAAATTTTCTATCTTACACTTGAATCTGGTGTGAAGTGTTTCACTCACCGACGCATCAGGCACTGTCCTGGGTGGCAGTGGACGGCAGGGAGCACGCGGATGAGGCTGTTGCTTTCTCGAGACTTAGACTAAGCCAGGCTTGGAACAGATTTCATCAGGTCCTTTGACACTTTGACCTGGCAGGTGCTGGGAACTGGGCGCAATTCCTAGATGCTTGTAAAAATGTGATACCTTCGGAAGCGATGCCAAGTCAGTGAAAGAATCTCAAGTATAAATTGAGCCCCCTAGGTAAGCTCATTTGTAAGTTGAGTTGAATATTCCTGAGTCAGGTAATTCCAAGTGAGAAGTCCATACTTCCTGCTTACATCTAGGGACTGTCTCTTCTCATCTGGCACAGTCCTTCCTCCTGAGTGTCTAGAACTGACACGGCAGGACTTGTGCTGGTGCTGCCCTCTCACTGAGAGCCAGAAGCGGGAACCCAGTTTGGCTGGCTATGGTGGGTGAGCAAACAGTGAGTACATGTGAGGAAGGGGAAGGTACTTCCTAGGGTGGCTGAAGGAGCTGCGAGTTTTATAGCTCTTACTGGCTCGATCCCGTCACAGGACTGCTATACTTTATTCAGAAATAGCACTTTTTCATTGTTTTAAAAAGTCTACAAATAGTTTTTCTTTTTTTTCTTTTAACAAAAGATATGAAATAACTATGTTTCTAGCTAGAGAAACAAAAGCACAAGCAAATGAATATCAGTGCATATTCTTGATAAATGCCACACATAATTGCTCTTAAAGATCTAGCTCAGATATCATAGTGCCCAAGTATAGTATTATAGTAACAAAGCATAAAAATGTTATATCCCACAATCAGTAATACAGATTCATCCAATAATGTGGTTAGTTAACGACAGTCGAGGAAACTGCAGTTTAAAATAATTTAGGTGATTTTGATTTTCCTGAAAAAGTCAAGGGGAGGTCTTTGCAGGCCACTCACAGAGCGTGAACTTGGATTGTTTGTGCAGTAAATACAGCAGCTGTGTGCGGTCATCCAGCTGGGAGCTGTGGGTGTGTGTGACCCTTACCTGTAGCTGATAAGTAAGCCGGAATATCTGGAATGATAAGGAGGTGTCAGCTGGTGGTAATCCAGGAAAGACCAGGTTCTCCTAATGTGATCCTTAGATCTAGCGAGGGAACTGCAGTATGGAACACCGTTCTCTGTCATCTTGTTGAGGACGTCCTTCATATTGCAAGAGTTTGGGAATTTGAATGTGACTCCAGCATGAGCTGGAAAGCATGGCTGCAGGTCCGGCTGGTAACAGGGTGAACGGAGTGTAGGACACGGGGCTTTGGCAGCACTGAGACTCCAAAGGGAAGCGGGGAAAGAGCCCCGCGTGGCCAGCAGGCGCTCGCAGGTACCGCTGAGAGCTCGGTGAATGTCTGATGTCATTGTCGTCTTCCCCTGCTCTAAGCCAGAATGACTTCTCGGGTCCCGGTAGCGTACTGGCTAATTAGGTGTGGGGGACGCTTAGAAGGAGTTCCTCTGGATGTTTTTAATCGGATACCTACATCTTCCTTTGTTCTTAGGGTTTTTTCCGGAGAAGCATTCAGCAAAACATTCAGTACAAGAAGTGCCTGAAGAATGAAAACTGCTCTATAATGAGAATGAATAGGAACAGATGCCAGCAGTGTCGCTTCAAAAAGTGTCTGTCTGTTGGAATGTCAAGAGATGGTATGTCCCCAGTTTAAAGAGTCCTCTTCTTAAAGCGTATGGGGCTTGGCTTTATTCCTCAGCGTGAACCAGAGCTGTAAGTCAATTACCAGTGGCCCCCTTGTGCTCAGGGTGAAAACAGATTTTCGAAAACACATTTTGTGATCTTACAGGATGGCAAATTGATTAAAGTCAAATTTTAGCATCATCACCTCAGAAACAGCTTTTGACTCACTTGTTTTTTTTTGTTTCTTGCCTGTGAAAAGACCCATTTTTTCCTCTGTGTGATTTGAGTACTTTTTCAAAAAAAAAAGAAAGGTGTAGTTTTTCTTGATAAAGGAGTTCTTGGCTTTTCCCCCTGATTTCTTTCTTAGCAGTTCTGAGGAACGCATTTCTCCCTCTGTGAGTTAGCTCTGTGACTTCTCAGTCCTGAGATGACACCGTGCTCTTAGGCGCCGATTGTGAGTACTTTCAAAGGTGACGCAAGATTGAAAGACGTGTCTGCTGAGGAGGTGGCAGCTCAGTCCCGGCGTGCGCCACTCCTGTGGGCAACAGGGTGGTGGTGACTTGCGGGACCGTTAGTGTCCTCTGTGGACGACCTCACTGGGAGATCTGACTTCTGTAGGGCTTGGGGTGTTAGGTTTGGGTAGTCTCATTCTCCTGCAAGTAACGTAGCTGAGGACCGTGAGGCTTTCAGAGGGGTCAAGTTAGGAGTTAATTGAGAACTGCTAAGAATGAGCCTTGTATTCATCTAGGGAAGAGTGATTTAAGCAGTCCCTTAGGTTACTCTAGCTAGTGTCTACTGACACAGAAACACAGCGTTGTAATAAGTAGGTTCTTGAATGACAGGTTTTAGCAATTGATGTTCTATGTTTTCAATTGCTTAAAAAAAAATTTTTTTTTTATGGCTCTAGAAATACTAATCCAAACTTGATGGATATTGTGATTTCCACAAGAGTAAAAATGGCCATCAGTCGTGCAGAGGGAAGCGAAGGTAGAGTGTGCAAAATGATTTAAGTTGTTAAGTCTGCGGTTGCGACAGTGTAAGAGGCTGCAGTTAGAGCAGCGAGACTTCCTTGCAGGGTGGATACATTGAATTTTTATTATCTGTGTATAAATACTAGAATAGAAAGAAGCTTTTCTTTTCCTCAGGGATAGGAATGTTGGAGACAGGACTAGCTTCTAAGATAGTGCAAATGAATGCTTTTATTTTTGTTTCATTGATTTTAATTAAAATCCAGCCAGTTTATTTTCCAATAACTGCATTTCTATCGACTGTGACTTTTTTCTTTTCTTTTCTTTTAAGATTTTCTCTTAAGAAGTTGGAAAAGGTGATCACTTAATAGTTGGGTCTTGAGGATAAGGTTACAGAGATGAACGGACAAAGGTCAGGGGAAGTGATTGTTCCTACACATCAGCGTTGATGGATGTGGGTAGCTGAATGCCTTCCTGAGGACACAGCCTTCAGTCTTAGTTAGTAAGGTGCTGAGTAGTAATGCTGGTTTGTTTCAAACTGATTTTCATTAGTTAACTTCAAATTTCTTTCTTAGACTTTGCTTATAAAATACCCAAGAAGTCTTCTCTTTAGCTTTATTTTGAGAGAAAAGTGAAAACTTTCTCTCCCCACTCCCGCTTCCTGTGGTTCCTCAAAAACATAACCGGCAAGTTTAGAATGATTTTTGGCCAGACTCAAGTGGGCACTCTTGTGTGATCAGAAGCTGTAGCTGTCTGAGCCAATTCTGTGTTCCTCTTTGGAATAAATGGGTCTATTTAACCTGTAGACGTTGAATATCTTTTTCTGCAATAGCTGTTCGGTTTGGGCGCATTCCTAAGCGTGAAAAGCAGCGCATGCTGATCGAGATGCAGAGTGCCATGAGGACCATGATGGACAGCCAGCTCAGTGGTCGTTTGCACAGTGACCCTTTAGCAGACCACCATGAGCAGATCGCCTTGCCAGCCCAGGAACAACCGCGACCCAAACCCCAGCTGGAGCCAGACAACAGCAAAAGCTCTTCTCCCTCCTCCGATTTTGCGAAGGAGGAAGTGATCGGCATGGTAACCAGAGCGCACAAGGACACCTTCATGTATAATCAGGAGCCGCGCGAAGGCTCAGCGGAGACCTCGGCGCCGCCGCGAGAGCGGCTCCCTAAGAACCTGGAGCCGTACAGCATGAACCACGAGCACTGTGTGGGCGGGCCGCGCGGCCGCTTCCCCTGCGCCCAGAGCCCGCCGCAGCTCAGCGGACACTACAAGGGCCGGAGCGGCGTGCACTACCCCGGCGGGCACGGCGTCTGTGTGGCGGGCGGACACTGCGGGAGCTTCCCCGGCGCTTATACTCCGAGAGTGTGTGATCGAGTTTCCATGGATGGGTTTTCTCAGAATGAGAACAAGAACGGTTTCCTGTGCGACACTGGCGGGAGAATGCACCTGGTACAGTGAAATCACTCTTTTGGCTCACTTTGTGTCGAGGAAAACTGTGAAGGCTTTCTTTTATTCGGAGGCCACTCCAAATTCAGAGGCGGGGGTGAGGGTCAGCAAAGCTAGGAGATTTACTAGAATCCCTTTTGCGTGGTATTTTAGATCAAATATTTTGAATAAACAGCATTTGTGGAATGACCTGCTTTCACACAGAGCTAGGTACACAGCATGTTATTTGATTGATACTATGATCGGAATTAGGATTTTATGTAAAATATGGGTTATGAAGAACTGATCCTTTAATTCTTAAAAAACCCTTTCAAAATATAGGTATTCAAGTTAGTCTAGGCCTTACTGGCGTTGGGATTTCCTCAAGGGGCTGATCCTTTAGCTTGCCACAGTCAGTAATTCCTTGATTGGGGTGGAAAGTGTCTTCTTTAACCATCATAATATAAAGAGGTCTTTGGATGTAGAGCATGGGTGTTTCATGGCTTGAAAACTTGGGAATAGTTTAAGAAAATCCGCTGGATTCTAAGAATTTTCTCAGACTTCATCCTGTGGGATGAGTCAGTGTTACATCATGTAAGTGTTTCATCAAATACAGCAGTCTGCATGAAAGCACGTCGTGTGTGCTCAGCCAGAGTGTCATCCAGAGCAGCAGGCCCACGGCTCTGTTAACACCAGGAGGTCCTTCGATAGTGCTTGGTGTTTTCTACAGCTGGGTAATTCAGATCTTCTTTTTTCATCAAATAGTCAAATAGTTGACTCTACCCCAATCCTAATGTTAGGTGTTTGTTTGTTTGTCTCTGGTCCCTTGAAGTTATTTGATTCCATGGATCTGGAAGGTAACCTTATTTTCTTTAGGCTTAGTGACTGCCGTAACGGGGGGAAAATCCGTAAGTGTTTAGGTCCTAATTTGTGATGTTGCCCATGGTCATGGAGCCATCCCATTTCTGGATCTCATGGGTTTAGTCGGCATGTGAAGGCTGATTTCATTCGCATGCGCAGTGCGCGTTTTGTATCTCCGTGGTGTGCCGGTCCCTCCTCTGGCCTCTTGTTTCCTCCCCATCCTCGTTTAGAAGGGGCACCTTGTGTGTCCAGCCATTGTGTCCTCACTGAAAAAGTGGAGGCCAGTGGTCACACCATTGTATATGAAATAAGTGGTCAGTGACCTCTTTTAAAACAATGAAGCATCTCAGACCTTTTCTTCTTTGAAATTATAGCAATGTAATTTTGCCTATTTAGGAAAGAGTGAGTTTTGAAATACTAAGTGTGGGGTTGGGCTCTAGGCCTTGACTTCTAGCTATATTTGGATGAATCACTAACCCATTTAAAGTCCCATTTCCTTATCTAAGAGATGGTAGTTATATGTCTGCCATAACTAAGTAACAGGACTGAGAGTCAGGTGCACGTGTGAGTTTGCTTGACAATTGTAAAACCAGTGTAAGATGATAGTAGTGTTACAAGGTCCGCTGTCAAACCTGTGCAACAGAAGTGTTCAATTTCAGTGCTTTTTAGTAATTTTAGTTATGCACCATTGCCATAGTCCAGTGTTAAAACATCCCCATCACCCCCCAAAACATCCCTTGTGCCTATTTGCAAACAGTACCTGCCCCCAGCCCCAGTCCCGCAACCGCTCAGCTAATTTATGTTTCTATAGATTGTGCACCAGGTTTTTGAACCAGCTTGTAATAGATGAACCTTTTGCTTAGGCTACTTCTTTTATGATAAGTTAACTGCTGTTTAAATTAGGATGCTCTGAGTCTTTCTGTCACAAGGGGAGCAGCCAGTAAAGAAAGTGCTAGCTAATATCAATAGATTCTATGGTGTCACAGAGTATTTTCCTGTTGGGGTTTCCACTGACTGATATGCTGCCTTTGAAGTTTCTTTCCCACCTCTCATAATCAAAGATTTCTTCTGTTTTGCACATACTAGGTTTGTCCGATGAGTAAGTCTCCGTACGTAGATCCTCATAAATCGGGGCATGAAATCTGGGAAGAATTTTCCATGAGCTTCACCCCAGCAGTGAAGGAAGTGGTGGAGTTTGCAAAGCGCATTCCTGGGTTCAGAGATCTCTCGCAGCACGACCAGGTCAACCTTTTAAAGGCTGGGACTTTTGAGGTAGGTTTTTATTTATCTTGAATGTTGATACTGGGCAGGGTAGTATTTTATTTTCATTCTTTTCTCAACAAGTATTTGTAGTCCAGAGGCTGAAACTACCAAGAAAAGCATGACCATCCCAGGATCTTGGGGAGAGACAAGGTAAACCCTGCATTACTCAAGACTTGAAACACAAACGTGCTGGGTTCGTAGCACAGCAACCCCAAGTTCTGAAACTGCCTCCAGGTGTGAACCTGGCAGGTTCTCTGGAGTTAGACACCTACTGAAAGCCTAGCCCAGCATTTCCTGGGTTCAGTACCGGACCAAAGGGGAAACAGATCGGTGTTTTTGTGTCTTAAGAGATGGTGGAATATTCGGTTGATGTAGCAGACGTTTCATATGTACTACCACAATCCTCTTGGCCTCGTCAGAATCCTTGGCTGCATTTGTGACTCCATCTTCTCTTTCTGTGATGCTGTCTCCAGGGCCTGAGCTCCTGGGCAGCTCTTCTTGCCAACTTGAGTAGGATGCAGGCAGAGCCTCTCCCCGTGCAGGGCTAGGTGCCTCTCATCTGTCGGCCCGGGGCTTCTCTGCCGCAGCTGAGGTGGGCACAGGCGCAGGCCTGGCCTGGAGCTCACGTGGGCATTGTCCTGAAATGCAGGTGGGAGCTGATGTTCGGTGGCCCCAGCCTTTAATCAGCGGAGGAAGTGGCGGGGCGGGGGAGGGGAGCTTCATGTCCCTGGATGGCCACCCGTGGCCCAGATCTCGGCTGTGCTTGATGTCAGGCAGTGTCCAGCTTGGTGACACGTCCTCCGCTACTGACTTTGCTTTCATCACACTTCCTTCTTCCTCACGCCTGTTTTCACACCTGCACCCCCCACAAAACCCCTTGCCTTTGGCTCTGTTCTCTGGGGCACTTGGACTAGAATAGAGAAGAAGTTTTCATAAATAAAATAGCTGTGATGTAATTCCAAAGAAACACCTATAGGTTGGAATTTTCAGTTTAGAGGAAAACATCAGACTTAAGGGTCTTTGGCTGTGCTGGGCCTTTGCTGCAGCGCGTGGGCTTCTCCATTCGGGGCATGTCAGATCCTAGTTCCCTGCATTGGAAGACAGACTCTTGACCAATGGACCTCCAGATTGAGAGTCAGAAGGGATGTCAGAGATCAAGTTCAGTTCACCAAGTTATGAGGTTATAGAACAATATAGCCCAGAGAGGTGAAGAGAGTTTTCTTTCCTTGGTTACCAGTAAATTCTTGACAGTCATGACTACAACACAGTTCTCATCCAGGACTTGCATTCTGTTCCCCTTGTGATCTGTCTGGAGACAGCTGGCTGTGGCGCTAGCTCTGTCGTCTTAGAAGGCTTCCTCTCTCTCTCGGGCTATCTTGGGTGAAGCGTCTTTGCTTGGGAGCTCTGCAAAGGGCAGATGTTTGTTCAGTGTTCATCTGGTTACACGAGAAATAGTCGTTAGCAGTGACTGCAGTGGAGTGAGCCTGCAGGTCCGCAGTGACGCTTGGTTTGGATTTCCATCATGACTTGATATCTGGAGCAGTTGCTGTAATAGTTTGTGTCTTTTTGGGTTACCCTTTCTTGAAATAGACTAACTAGAGTTCATCTTTCCTTGTCTACATTTGGTGTTTGGATGTTTCCAAGTGTTGTTGCATTGAAATACTGCTCTTTTTACTTTGGGCTTAGAGACCGTGTAATGTACTTGATAGCTTAAAAGAGTTTCTTTAATACCTTTGACCAAGGTCCAGTTTCAGACTTCTTAGCATTATTGCCTGCTTTAATTTGGGTTTTTTTTGCCTGCTTTAATTTTGAATCTGCATTTCAGAATCTTTAATAGCTTCAGAGCACCATAGGCATTGAGTATTTTGCCACTGGTGGTTGGATTTTTTTTTTTTTTTGATGCTATTCCTAGAGTATTGCTTTGGTGGAGAATTTGCCTTAAGCAAATGGTTCTGGGTAAAAATAAACTCAGTTTTTCTTCTACAACTTTTTAAAATACGTAGAATTCTCTTAACTGACTTGAATACTGAGTTATTTTCTCGTATTACAATTGAACTTCCCCATATACATTTAAGTCTTTTTCTTTTTCCAGGTTTTAATGGTACGGTTTGCGTCATTGTTTGATGCAAAGGAACGTACTGTCACCTTTTTAAGTGGAAAGAAGTATAGTGTGGATGATTTACACTCAATGGGAGCAGGGGATCTGCTAAACTCTATGTTTGAATTTAGTGAGAAGCTAAATGCCCTCCAACTTAGTGATGAAGAGATGAGTCTCTTTACAGCAGTTGTCCTGGTCTCTGCAGGTAAGGAAGCCGGTTCACAATTGTGCCACACCTGGAATGTAGTGAGCAGCCTGGGGAGAAGGCTGCAGTGGCCTAGGTTCTGGCAGGTCGTGTGGAGGGACGAAGGCCTTAGGGAAGATGCTGAACTAGGGGTCTGTTATTTTTGCATGATGAATTTTTTTTTCCCATGACAGTAAAAGTCAAAAGGGCTGTATAGTGATAAACAGATGTTGAGATCTGGGTCTTATGTTTACCTCTCTTAATCTTTAGCTTTTTTTCATATTTTTTTTTACAAGTCTTAATATCTTATGGATTTATTTTTTGCAACATTGTATATCTCCAGGTAGGTGGTGGTAATCCAAAACCAAGTTTTGTTTAAAAATACCATGTGGGTTACTTGAAAGTGTTGTGAGTATCAAGATGTATGATATTACTGTCTTTTGTTAAAAAAATCAGCATTACGAGTTGTAGGCTCTCACTGAGCTTTGCTCCCGAGCTCTCTGTGTGGCTTGGTAAGTACCGTCTGTCTCTGGGTCTCGGTCTCCTCCCGGGAAGGGAAGTGAGTGTGCGTGGGAGCCTCACGTGCTTTCGGCACAGGGCAGAGGCGAGCGCCTGCGTGAGCGAGTGATACAGCAGCTGCTGTGTCCCAGCGTCTCCTGAGGCTTGTGAGGCACCCACGGCGTTTCCCAGTTTCCCTGCCACCATGGTTATACTGCGGTTGCTTCTGACCAACGTATCTCAGCTCAGACAGTAAGACAGGGATTACCCCCAGTAAAAAATCGGGAACTGAGACAGGGACTTCCTTGGGAACATGTAAAAACGTGCCAGCCGTTTTCAGGTGTCCCTGACTTTATTTTAAACCATTCGTGGAGAATTTGACAGTATTTCGACGTGAGTTACTTTAAGTTTCCCATTGACTTCCTACTGTGTAAAAGCCCTTGTGCTGAGCACAGGGAGGGCTGTGAGGTGTGCATGTGGCCCCCGGTCCTGGGCTGAGCTGTGAGTCGGTTCACACCAGTAGTCCCCGCAGAGGGTGAGTTCTCTGTGTATCGTGAAGGGCCCATTGCATGCCAGTGGTGAAGACTTAGGCCGTTTGCAAGCGTTGTTTGGCCACCTTTTCTGACCTGCTCTGCCTGCACTTATGGGATAATATGATGGACCGTGTCAGGGAGGACGGCCTGGTTTCTTAGTAGCTTTTCAATGCCTCTTGCTCATGTGTGTGTTCAATCACTTGTCGTGTCAGACTCTTTGCGACCCCATGGACTCCTCTGTCCATGGGATTCTCTAGGCAAGAATACTGGAGTGGGTTGCCATTTCCTCCTCTAGGGGATCTTCCTGACCCGGGGATCAAACCTTTGTCTCTTGCATCTCCTGCATTGGCAGGTGGGTTCTTTACCACTAGCACCACCTGGGAAGCCTCTTGCACATAACGCACCATTTTGCAGAGTCTCTTGATAAGTAATTAGTAATGGTTTGAGTTGGCATCAGGTTAGTAAATCTATAATCATGAAACTACAGGTGATCCATACTCGTTAACTTTTTAATTTAGTGAATGTGCCTGAAGTGTGAGGTGCTGTGGGTGGGTGACGGAACAAGTTTTAAGACACACGCTGAGTGTTCCATTTGGAGAGACAGAAGCAACACAGAAAGCTTTGTGTTCTAACCCCGAGGTTCTGCCTGCGGTAGATGGGCGTCTTGGGAGGGAAGAAGGCTTTGTGGGCAGGACGGTGGTGGAGCTGGACCGTGAGGGTGCAGAGTTAGGTTTCGCCAGCGGAAGGTGAGGACGCCCGGGGCCGAGGGGCGGGAGGCGGGGTTCGGGAGCCCCGGGCGAGGGACCGCTGTGAGAGCCCACAGCCCAGTGAGATCGGGCCTGGCAGCAGTGTGGCTCCACGGTGGGGGGCGCCCGGGCGTGAGCGCCGCGCTACAGTGACATGGTCCTGAGTGCTTACCCTGGGGCGTCAGGCCGGCGCCGGCAGCTGCAGGGTCGGCTCCGGAGGCCGTGCGGGTGACTTCAGGGGTGAGGAGGAGGTGGGGGCGGGGGGTGCTCCCGGAGCAGGTCAGCGGAGGGGACGGCTGGGAGGGGGGCGCAGAGGTGCCCCCGGGGCAGGTCACGGGGGACGCGGCTGGGGGTGCAGGGGCGCTCGCCAGGCACCGTGCTCCTTCCTAGTTTCCACCAGGAATGTGATTTCTCTGTTGTTTCAGATTATAACTTTGAGAAAGCCTTGTTTTGTCTTCTCATCATAAGAATAATACAGGTTCTTTGAGAAATTAGACAGTGTCAATATTAAGATGAAAATAAGGGGTGATAATATCACCACAAAAAAGTACCATTAACCTTAGGGGTCTCTCTCTAGCTATTTACCCACCAACCCATTTGTCCCTTTGCCTGCTTGTGAATATATAGTAATAAAGGAGAAGGATGGATTGTAAAAGAAGATACAGCCTTCTTATTTTTGTTGTTTATACATGAAGATATACAAACAACACAAAAATATGTGCATCTTAAAATGATACATTGTTCCACTTTATGATAATGTTCATATCAAATTTAAATCTTTGTCACTTAAAAAGAACTATTGTTATTTTTAAAGCAGGAAAATAAAATCCAGTAACGGTGGAAGGGTATAAAATGGAAAGTCTCTTTATTCTCTTGCTAGCCTGTTCTTCAGGCTTGTTCTGATGATTGCTGATCCAACTCGAAATACTATTCTCTCGCCTTTTTATTTAGTAGATGTAACTGATAAATGATAGCTCAGCTGGTGAAGAATCCGCCTGCAGTGCCGGAGACCCTGGTTCGATTCCTGGGTTGGGTAGATCCCCTGGAGAGGAAAAGTTACCCACTCCAGTATTCTGTATAGTCTGTCGGGTTGCAAAGAGTCGGACACAACTGAGCTACTTTCACTTTTCAACTGATAAATGAAAGCACCCTCTCATTTTTCCGTCTCAGCTTTTATGGTCCCCCCGCGCCCCCCACCCCTGTTGCTTTAGTTATATAATGACTGTAATATGCCCACACTCTGCTCCTACACTTGTCCGTAACCTCTCGGGAGCTCAGCTCGCGCATCCTCACTGTCCAGGGAGGCAGCATCCTACTTTCTCTGCAGCTTGACTTCTTTTGCCCTAATGTTTCTTCTGTGGCGTTGAGAATGAAAACGTTTACGTTCTGTTCTAGAAATGTGACTGTCTTCCATGCTTTATTTATCAGTTGATTCTAAAAACTGAACAGTAAAGCACCCTTATTTAAGTGTTATGATTACGGGAATAGTGCTCATAGTGTTCCCTCAGTGGGGCTGAAAGGGTAAGGAGGCAATATAGACTCTCCCCTAAACCTGTGCTTCCTGAAGGGAACATTCCAGTGTCAGGTAATGGATTGTCTTTCTGTATTTTCTGCTAACTGCTTAGAATTAAGCAACATTACAGTTTGCTTTCTATTCAAAATAGCTTTTGTTTTTCTTGGGGTCTGCCCTTGCCTTCAGGTTTTGGTTTTGCTTCGGTTGTTGTCAGACGACATGCTAGTTAATGATCTCATTATGTAATTTTGTCTTCACGACAGACCCTGCCTGTGAGCTCGGACATGCTATTCTTAGTTACACAGGCGAGGAGTTTGAGGAAAGGCAGGGGCGGGGGCTTAAATAATTTGTCTGAGGTCACATTTTTAATAATTGGCTGATGAGGCATTTGCACTCTTGCTAGTCTAGCTTCAGAAGCCTCCGCCTGTACTGGTTGTTAACAGCTCTAGCTGCCAAGGGAGAGAGAGGTCTCAGACTCTTACCTGCCTGAGTGATGGGGAGAAGCTTGATATCGTGAGGAGAAGAGCAGTTGCCCCCAGAAGGTTAGTTCTTTTTCGGGCTGTGTGGAAGGGTAGAGTCCCTTCCAGGTGGAGGTCAGACTCGCCTGCGGGTGTCAAGCCGGGCTTGTCAGGGTGCGGGCGTCAGTTGTCCCCATGAGGCTTGTGGACAGGATTTCACGTCCATCTATAGGACGACAGTCGAGGAGGAGTTCTCATGAAATGGTGAAAGATGTGGAAAGGTGTGTCCTGACCAGCAGTACAGCTTGTAGTGCACTGTCTGGAAGACAAGTTTCCATTTCAGTCTGTGCCTCTAGTGTTGCAGTTGCTAGAGGATTGTTGTTTATGATCAGCTGCATTTGTACTTAGGTCCTCTGGCCTCGAAATCATGAAACCATGGCTTTTTATGATTAACATTCTTAGGTACAGTGAAGGGAGTTGAATAGAGAGGCGTAGGCCATTCAAAGTCCAGATCATCACTGGAGAATCAACCACATATAAAACTTAGCTCAAATGTCCTTTTCCACTTACTGTTTGGTACTGGTACTACTGCCATCTAGACTGTTTTGTTTTTGGGGATCATTGTCATTTTTTCCCAGTTGTTGTTATTGTAAATTACAGGTGACGTAGTGTAAACCAGTTACTTTCTTCTGTCAAAACACGAGCTCTCTAAATACGAGGACTTCCAGTTTGTCGCGGTCACTGCTCTTCCCTAGCACCACACGAGTAACCTGGAGAAGGCAATGGCAACCCACTCCAGTATTCTTGCCTGGGAAATCCCCATGGACAGAGGAGCCTGGCGGGCTCCGGTCTATGGGGTTGCAAGAGTTGGACACGACTGAGCGACTACGCACACACATACCGGTAACCACACTCATTCAAAAGTGTTTGGTGAATGAATTAATGAATTGCAAGGCTGTTAAAGAAAGCAATTGCTTGAAATTGTTTTAATTGTTTAATGAAATTGTTTAATGAAAACATTAAAGGCAACGGAGAGTCTTGGAAGCATTATTGAAAGCTTTAAGTAGTTTTGCAGAGATGATCCTTATGATTGTATGGCCAAAGTCAAGGGTCGAGATCTCGAAGAGATCTTTTGTCCATCTTACAATTTTGTGTGAAAAGTTGATTTCCCTCCCTGCCACCCCCAACCAGTAGTCACCATTCAGATTGTTTCTGTTTAATAATTAGCACAGTTGTAGCAATAATCCAAATTTTATTAAATGTTATACAAAGCTGTTTTCATCATTTTTCTCCTGCATTGAGTTTATCAACCTCCCATCCTTTACTATTAAATTTTAGCTCTTGGTTTCAATGTTCCCATTCCAAGTAGCCTTTTTCAGCTACCAGTCACAATGGAAGACCTCCTTGATTTCCTTGTAAAAAAAATGAAACAAGGGTGTAAATGGCCAGAGAATTTTGCTTCCTCGGAGAAGTTTTTTTGGAGCCATTGAATATTTCTTGAGTACAACTGTCTCCTGTTGTAAAGGGAAGAAATAGTCCTTGCTGATGAAAAAAGTCCGTGGTTTGGTTCATTTAAAGGTAGTTTCCTTTATTGCTGGTTTATATTAAATCACTAACTTATTAACATTTTTTGTATGATGAATTTAATAAACACAGTATGCTAAATGAAAGTAAATGCAACTTAATACAACTATTAATAAGGAGTTGGTGATGGACAGGGAGGCCTGGAGTGCTGCAGTCCATGGGGTCGCAAAGAGTCGGACATGACTGAGCGACTGAACTGCACCAAATAGAATAAAGTTGCGTGCTATGTTAGATAACTACTACTGCATAATAAGTTACCTAGAGATTCCTTGGCTTAAAAATGCGTACATTTATTCTCTCTCAGTTTCTGAGGGTTGGGCTATGGGTGCCTCTGGCTCAGGGTTTCTGAGGAGGTTGTATTCAAGCTGTCGGCAGTCCATATGAAGGCTTCACTAGGGCAAGATCGACCTCCAGGCTTATTCACATGGTTGTTGGCAGGAGTCAGTTCCTTGTGAGTTGTCCCACTGGGTGTCCCACTGGGTCGCTGGCTGCTGTCGGCTGGAGACAGCCCTCCGTTCCTGAGCACTTGGACCACGTCTTAGGCACCTCACATGGCATCTGGCTTTCTTCAGAGCGAGCAGTGAGAGACTGTCTGAGGTGGAAGCTGTGGTTTTTCCTGGGATACTTGACTCATCAGCAGTGAGTCTGGCCCACTCACAGGGAGAGGAGTCCATGCGTGGGTCCTGGGTGTCTGCCGCCTGTGGTAACACGCAGATGTGGAATGTTCCGTATGAGGTGAAAATACACTTCCAAACCACACGACTCATCTCATTTTGCTCATTAGAAGCAGTTGAAATTAGGTGGCATCAAATTTTAAAAAATCAGAACCTCTAGATTTTTGTGAGCAAAGATACCTAAGCAGTATAAAGAATTTTATCTGGTATACTATATGATACACATTTTATAATATGATTAATAGCTTTTCAAACATTTGCCATTGGAATTTAAAAAACTCTGTCAGATATCTTTTGCCTTTGTTCCCATGTGTAAAGCTTTGGTTTGAGTTCATTAATGAGACTGACAAGTACAGTTATGTCTGTTTACTGTTAGTAACATGGGCATCTCCTCCTCTCCCCCTGCTCCTCGCTCTCCGCAGATCGATCGGGGATAGAAAACGTCAACTCCGTGGAGGCTTTGCAGGAAACGCTCATCCGCGCACTAAGGACCTTAATAATGAAAAACCACCCAAACGAGGCCTCTATTTTTACAAAACTTCTCCTAAAGTTGCCAGATCTTCGCTCTTTAAACAACATGCACTCTGAGGAGCTCCTGGCCTTTAAAGTTCACCCCTGAGGCCTTCGCTGATTTAGACATGAACCAACCCAGGCTAACTGTACATTTTGTGCTGAAACGCTTATTTCTCTGTGCGTGCTGTCTGCGGAGGTGGAGACCTCGGAGACGACGAGCCCGCAGGCCGTCTCTGCAGTCAGCCAAAGCCGTCCGCCTCATTTCCTCAGCCCTGGCCAGAGGCTGACCACGTCCCGAGTGATCCGTCAGCTGTGCGGCACTTAACTGGAGAAGCTACACTGAATTACAGTCACACTGAATGTTAGACTTTCTCATCTGCCAAAACCAAAAACCATTGATCTCCCTGTGACATAAATGTAACGCGTAATCACAATATCTGAGGACCTAAAGTTACCCCTCTGTGGTGGAAGTTACCCCTCCTGTCAGATGGAAGCCTGATTTCACCACAGGACTCTGATCTGCTGGTTGAGGCCCTGCAAGTAAGGAGACTTCGTTGTGGGTGCCCCCATCGTCATGAGTGTGCTCGGTCCTGGGAGGCTCCCTGCTTGTGGAAATGAGAGCCGATCCTTCCCCCAGGCCCACCTGACACATCCTAACCAACATCTGTAAAGCATCTTTACCTCTTGGGAGATAGGCACTATGTAAATACAGTAAAATTTTTGTTATAATTATTCATAATAATTATCTTTTTTTTTAAACTTCTACTGTTTTCTGAGAAATCATTTCAGTGCACACCAATCTGCTATTCAGGGTTCCTGCATATGTGTGGGGTATCCTCTGGCACACACATATTCAAAGATTATGGGTACATTAAATACATAGTATGTGTACATAATATCTATGTGAATATAGTTATACATAAATATATCTCTTCACAATATTTTAAACTGTGAAGAACTTTATCATACAATAAACTTAAAACAAGAGGTGTCAATAGACCCAAATTAGGTGCATTTTACCTGTTGATAACATAACCATTGCTTTAAATGTTTTAGAGAGTAGAGTGCTGAATTTATGCTCTATTTTTGTTTATTTAAGCACCACTTAATGTAAAAGTGCAACAGGCAGTTGAGTCCAGATTTTCAAAAAATTTGTGTTTTAGAGTTCATCTTTAGTAAAATTTTTGGTTTCAGGTACTGGTCATTTAAAAGTTCATTCAGATTCTTACCTTGTGCTAAAAAGGTTTCATTGCTGCCCCTTAATACACATGCTGCAGCTTGATGATAAACATTTTGATTCTTCCTGGAGAACCAATGTTTAAGAAAACAGTTTCACATGTTGATGTGTGCCTGTGTGTGAATGTAGATGTGCAGGTGTGTTCTGAAGCCACTTGTTTTTTTTCCCTTAAACAACACTACAGGGATTTTGTCAAATTAGATTTAACCTATAATTTGAAAAATCATTTAGTGTGTGACCTACAGGCTTAGGAATAGTATAGTCAAAGACATTTCATCCTTATTTCTGTTCTTGGGCTTTATTAAATAGGTAAGATTGGCCTTTTTATGGCAGTTGGAGAAAATCACCTGAAAGCTGAGGATTTTGTGTATGTTTTTCTGTTGCCCTGCAAGATAGCAGCTAATTGGATTTTTTGGGTTAAGACTGCCTTCTGTATAATTTTTAGATTATATAAAATTACAAAAATGAAAAGGTCCCCTTTACTGTCTCAGCCTGTTACTTTAATGACATGTGAGCAGAATGCCTTATTTTGTAACCTTGTTTAACTTGTTGCTACTAGGACTTGAATTTCTGTGGCACTAGTTAAGTTAAAAAAGAGTTAAACCCTCTCTTTATTAAAGAGGAAAGGTGATGGTGATGTCTGTAGTACAGTGTAAACCATAATTGTGATTTACCTTAAATAGGTATGACTTTTATGGGATATACAGTATAGTTTTTGTGAATTCTTTACATGATAGCATTATCTTTTTATAATTTTTTTCCGAAGATAAATGCATAGTTTTCTTCTATGGGAAATAGAAACAGCTTTTTGATGTAATACTGAAAACCTCAAAGATCATGTTGTTTCTTAATTTTTGCCTTTTGCATAAGCCTCTTTATAACATATATCTTTAAAGCAGTTACTAAGTCTTTAGGAATGTGTAACCGGAACTGTTAGTATTGCTTATAAAACTTTAGTTAGGTTCAATATATACATGTATACATCTATATATAGGTATAGAGATTTGCATTTTGTCTTGTAACATTTTATTTGAACAGATTCTTCCTGTAGGTAATGGGAAACAAATTTAATAGTTCATATGCCACTCTTAGCATTTCTATATTTGAAAATAGCCCACGATTTAAACTTGTAATTCTAAAGTTAAACCAGCAGCCTACTACAAGCACATTCTTTGATTGAGTCATTGGTTATAAACTTCCTGTTGATAAATGCGTAGAAGACAACCAGTTTGGGGAACTTCTGAGTTGGTGGGACACTGTCGATTAATTAACAATGTACTGTATGAATTAAGTGATGCTTTAACTCTGATTTTACATTTTAAAGTTAAGACATGGGCATTATGTCAGCAAACTTAAGGGCATTATGTCAGCAAGCTAAAACATTTTTTTCTTGTGCTTTTAATGTATCTCCTTACATGATCTGAGAGACGATTCAAGCCTTTAGAGAGAAATAGCTGAGGAAAAGGGGAAACATCTTCTTGGGATGAAGCTTTTCCTTATGGCGATGGTTTAATTACAGATTCAAAAATCAGAAGGAAATTTCAGTGGATTAAGTGTATAGCTTCTGTAAACACATTTCAAGAAATTACCATTGTAACTTGATAAGATAAGATTTTTTTTATGTAAACATCATTGCAAAGCAAGGAATAGAAGCTCAGCTAGATTTATTACTGTGCACGAGAGTAAGTACCTATCTCAATTATTCTTTTTCTTTTCCAATATAAAGTTTGCTGAATGTACAAGAAGAGTTTATCACTTAGGGCATAGAATTTTTTAGGGGTTGGGAGGGGGGAGCTCTGTCAGGCAATTACCTAGAAACAAAGATTGTCTTGGTTTGATCTGAAATGTAAAACTTGAAGCTATTCTTGAACTAACATGGAAAATAAAATGGCTATTGTTTAAAAAAAAATGATAGAACTATATTGTTGACAAGATATGAATTAAGTTTATTTTCTACAAACTGTTATTGATGAAGACATGGATAATATGTTCATGTTTCTGAAAAGTAATCTGTACATGGGGGGAGGGAATAATAAATATTATTTCTAACCAGGTGTGGTATTTGGTATTTTCCTGAGTTTTTTGTAAGACCATCTATAATTACCTTACTGCTTTCCCTGAGCAGAGCAGGGTCTCTTATGTAGATCTCTGATTCAGCATGGGATTGGGGGTATAAATATGCAGGACTTTTTTAAAAAAGGAGACTTCAGAGTTTGTTTAGAGATTCCAGCAAAGACTGTGAGTTTTCTATGATGCCAGCTGAAAAGAGGTTCCTGGTTAGGGGACCGGGAGAGGCAGGGGGACCTGGTGTAGACAGGGCTCAGCTGTAACCATGAACCAGGTCGGGAGCCTCCGCATGACCACCACCTCCTCTCGCCTTAACTAGGGGGTGCGGCTGTGCGGGCCACTTAAACCAGCGTTTGCCGAATTTGTTTCCAAGACTGGTAATATCCCCTACTTTCCTGTGAATGTTAATTGATGTCAGGTGGGAGACATGGGCTTCTTGATGAAATGAATGTGGAAACAGTGGGTTAACCAAGGTTACTGAGATGTCTTTACGGCATTCGTGTTCTCTGATGAGCAAATGTGCATGTGTCCTTTAAGAAAGGGTTTAGGGGGATGCAGATTTTTTCCCCAAACGTTCTCCACCGGATAAACAGCCCCCCCACCCCATTTTTTCTGTGCTGAGCTCTTCTAAGGCTCTTTGGAAAGTGTGCTTTCAGGAGAAAAGTCCCTGGTAACCCACTTTAAGTTTTGATCAGGATGTTGATCATATTCTGTTGAGTATTATACAAATTTCCATCGGGTTTTGCCCCTTTTTTGCACAGGATGAGAAACAATGAGCTTGAAATAAATGTGTGGTTGATGGAAAGCAAAACAGATGGAAATCCTTGCAAGTTTTGGAAATACTGCTGCTGAATAACCGAGTAAAAACGGCCAGTTCATGGATCTGGTGTTAGTTTTAACACTCACTCGGGCCTATTAAAACTTGTTACATTTGCTTTTCTTAATTTTTAGGCTGGGGGCTTCCCTGGTGGTAAAGAGTCTGCCTGCAGTGTGGGAGACCCGGCTTCAATCCCTGAGTCAGGAAGATCCCCTGGAGAAGGAAATGGTAACCCACTCCAGTATTCCTGCCTGGAGAATCCCATGGACAGAGGAGCCTGGCGGGCTACAGTCCATGGGGGTCTCAAAGAGTCAGGCATGACTGAGTGACTTCACTTTCTTTCTAGAAGTTGAGGAACAACTATGGCCTGTGTTCCAGGAGCCTTGTCAGAGTTGCCCTTCACAGTGTGAAAGTTGCTGGCCTTGGAGTGATTTTCAGACACCAGAGTAGTAGACCCACTTAGAACACTTTGAATTGAGTGCATGTAGGAGCCACGAGTGCAGGCTGGGAGGAAGCTCAGAACCTCTCCAGAGCCCTTATGTGGGGCGCATTCCCCAGAAGGCGAACGTGCTCTCAGGATGAGCATTGCCCCTGCATTTTAACACAGATAACCAAGACAGTGAGCCCAGTGTTAAAGACTCCAGTACAAACCCAGGATGACCGCGTTCTTAGTCGCTTGGTTGTGTCTGACTACGACCCCGTGGACTGTGGCCCGCCAGGCTCCTCTGTCCATGGGATTCTCCAGGCAAGAGTACTGGAGTGAGTTGCTTGCCTTCCTCCAGGGGCTCTTCCTGACGCAGGGACTGAACCTGGGTTTCCTACGTTGCAGGCAAATTCTTTACTGCCTGATCCACCAGCGAAGCTGGCACTAGAACTGAATATGACCTTCTAAGGTCTCTGAGGTAAGCTGTTTTCTCATCTGTTTGTTGCTTCATTTTTCTCTGAACTCTTCTTATCCTTAACTTCAGTGTTTCCCCCCGCCCCATTACTTTGTTGCTTTGCTTGTACATTTTCATCTGTTTTTCCCTCCTACAAGAGATATTTCATTTCCTGTGCAGATTCTGCAGTTAAACACAAGTAGGGTAGTTTCCAAACTGGAAAGCACCTGCACTTGCGTTCTGTCTTGATCATCTTTCTGTGCCCCCCCTGCCCCCCGCCCCACCCCCCACCATTGCAGTGGCTGCTCTTTTTCAAAGCTATTTTGTCGGACAGGACTTTTGAGGAATAAACTGATGGTTTACTTCTTCATTACTTACATTTACTGAATGTCTGTGTCTCAGGAGTTTTTATTCTTTAATGCACAGTGAGGTTCCATGAAAATCCAGGGCGCCAATCCAGACGGTTTTGCAAAGGTGTGTGCCTGTGGAGCAGGTGGTCGCCAGTCACAGCGGCCGAGTCCTGCAGCTGCTGCCGCTCGGGGGCTCCTGAGGTCTGGTGTGACCTGGTCGGGGATTTAGGGGCCTGGTTGGTAGAAACAGCCATTATTAAAATTTAAGTTACGTAAGTTTACAATTGAGTTATATTTGAATGGGTAATACTCAAAGCTCATCTCTCCCTAATTATTTTAAATCTATTATTAATGCTTTGTGTGTGTGTACGGTGGGTTCAGTGCATGGTGGGAATGTCCTTTGTGTCAGCGTGTTTCTGCACACCTTCCCATTTCCCTGCCAAGGGATTATCTATACCATGAACATCTGCACATGCTCTGAATCAGGGCTTGATTTATTGTTTTGTTGATTTTCTAGGCTTGAGAAAGTGATGGAGAACATGTTAAGGATACAGATTACACTTAGAAGTGTGTCACATCTGTTGCCATTAACCATTGCAAATAGCATAGAAAAATGAACAGTCCAGGAGTCGAAAAGTATTACCTGGTTCAGCAAAGAAATTTCTCACATCATTGATAAACAAGTCAAGTTCTGATGTCGGTTTTATTGTTTTATTGTATTGGAGGAGAGCATGACAACCCACTCCAGTACTCTTGCCTGGAGAATCCCATGGACAGAGGCGCCGGGCAGGCTACAGTCCATGGGGTCGCACAGAGTCAGACACAACTGAAGTGATGGAGCATGCACACAGTTATTAATATATTTAAAATATCAATCAGCTTGCCAGAACTATGTTTGTCAGTTGCAACTTCAGCAAAAATAAAGGCATGCATTCTGTGAGAATTGTGTATATGGAGTTAACAGTAAAGAGGATCGTACACTTTATATATTGCGTGCTGTATCGCCTTTCGGTAAGAACAATAGATGCACACTCATACATATGATACTCCTCCTCAGGGAGCTAGCTGTTAAACACTACCTGCACACCACTATTACTTAACCCCAAGAGGTAATTCTGTTTTTCTAGATGAAGAAACCTAGGCTCAGAGTTGAAGTAACATTCAAGTTTGCACAGCTACTTAGTGGAGAGGCGGATTGCAAAACCCAGATGTCTGGGCCTTGGCTCTGCTCTCAGCTATTCTGTGTGACAGAGAGGCCAGGCCGGGTCCCCTCCTTGCAGAGCAGTTTTTAGTAAGTCTGCTTGGCTCTCTGCAGGTGTGGGCTGTTGAGAGGGGCTAAAGGGGAAACTTAGGCAAGGAGTCAACACGTAGTAGTCTAATGTTATCCCCCCAACCCCTCAGAACGTTTTACACGTTCTCTCATCTCGAAAAGGACGGAGTGGGTGCGAGACTAAGTGAGAGGAAGTAAAATCTTTGCCAACAGTGAAGCCTATTCAGACATGAGGTCACTGCCCGTAAGCAGAGGGAGGAGAGACGGGTGGGCCCCCGGGGAGGAGGCTCGGGGGGCTCTCTCGGGGCTCAGCCAGGGGGCGGGTCTCTCAGAAGCCCCCGGGGAGGAGGCTGGGGGCTCAGCCCGGGGGGCGGGTCTCTCAGAAGCCCCCGGGGAGGAGGCTGGGGGCTCAGCCCGGGGGGCGGGTCTCTCAGAAGCCCCCGGGGAGGAGGCTGGGGGCTCAGCCCGGGGGGCGGGTCTCTCAGAAGCCCCCGGGGAGGAGGCTGGGGGCTCAGCCCGGGGGGCGGGTCTCTCAGAAGCCCCCGGGGAGGAGGCTGGGGGCTCAGCCCGGGGGGCGGGTCTCTCAGAAGCCCCCGGGGAGGAGGCTGGGGGCTCAGCCCGGGGGGCGGGTCTCTCAGAAGCCCCCGGGGAGGAGGCTGGGGGCTCAGCCCGGGGGGCGGGTCTCTCAGAAGCCCCCGGGGAGGAGGCTGGGGGCTCAGCCCGGGGGGCGGGTCTCTCAGAAGCCCCCGGGGAGGAGGCTGGGGGCTCAGCCCGGGGGGCGGGTCTCTCAGAAGCCCCCGGGGAGGAGGCTGGGGGCTCAGCCCGGGGGGCGGGTCTCTCAGAAGCCCCCGGGGAGGAGGCTGGGGGCTCAGCCCGGGGGGCGGGTCTCTCAGAAGCCCCCGGGGAGGAGGCTGGGGGGCTCTCTCGGGGCTCAGCCAGGGGGCGGGTCTCTCAGAAGCCCCCGGGGAGGAGGCTGGGGGCTCAGCCCGGGGGGCGGGTCTCTCAGAAGCCCCCGGGGAGGAGGCTGGGGGCTCAGCCCGGGGGGCGGGTCTCTCAGAAGCCCCCGGGGAGGAGGCTGGGGGCTCAGCCCGGGGGGCGGGTCTCTCAGAAGCCCCCGGGGAGGAGGCTGGGGGCTCAGCCCGGGGGGCGGGTCTCTCAGAAGCCCCCGGGGAGGAGGCTGGGGGCTCAGCCCGGGGGGCGGGTCTCTCAGAAGCCCCCGGGGAGGAGGCTGGGGGCTCAGCCCGGGGGGCGGGTCTCTCAGAAGCCCCCGGGGAGGAGGCTGGGGGCTCAGCCCGGGGGGCGGGTCTCTCAGAAGCCCCCGGGGAGGAGGCTGGGGGCTCAGCCCGGGGGGCGGGTCTCTCAGAAGCCCCCGGGGAGGAGGCTGGGGGCTCAGCCCGGGGGGCGGGTCTCTCAGAAGCCCCCGGGGAGGAGGCTGGGGGCTCAGCCCGGGGGGCGGGTCTCTCAGAAGCCCCCGGGGAGGAGGCTGGGGGCTCAGCCCGGGGGGCGGGTCTCTCAGAAGCCCCCGGGGAGGAGGCTTGGTTGGGGGGGGCTCTCTCAGGGCTCAGCCCGGGGGCAGGTCTCTCACAAGCCCCAGGGGTGGAGGCTGGGGGCTCAGCCCGGGGGCGGGTCTCTCAGAAGCCCCCGGGGAGGAGGCTGGGGCCTCAGCCCGGGGGCAGGTCTCTCAGAAGCCCCCGGGGAGGAGGCTGGGGGCTCAGCCCGGGGGGCGGGTCTCTCAGAAGCCCCCGGGGAGGAAGCTTGGTTGGGGGGGGCTCTCTCAGGGCTCAGCCCGGGGGCAGGTCTCTCACAAGCCCCAGGGGTGGAGGCTGGGGGCTCAGCCCGGGGGCGGGTCTCTCAGAAGCCCCCGGGGAGGAGGCTGGGGGCTCAGCCTGGGGGGCGGATCTCTCAGAAGCCCCCGGGGAGGAAGCTTGGTTGGGGGGGGCTCTCTCAGGGCTCAGCCCGGGGGCAGGTCTCTCACAAGCCCCAGGGGTGGAGGCTGGGGGCTCAGCCCGGGGGCGGGTCTCTCAGAAGCCCCAGGGGAGGGGGCTGGGGTGGGGTGCTCTCTGGGGGCTCAGCCCGGGGCGGGTCTCTCAGAAGCCCCCGGGGAGGAAGCTTGGTTGGGGGGGGCTCTCTCAGGGCTCAGCCCGGGGGCAGGTCTCTCACAAGCCCCAGGGGTGGAGGCTGGGGGCTCAGCCCGGGGGCGGGTCTCTCAGAAGCCCCAGGGGAGGGGGCTGGGGTGGGGTGCTCTCTGGGGGCTCAGCCCGGGGCGGGTCTCTTAGAAGCCCAGAGAAGGGGGCTCAGCCCAGGGCGGGTCTCTCACAAGCCCTCGGGCTGCAGTGAGGAGACGGGCGCTGAGCGGGTGTCACCTGGTTTACGCCTCCTCAGCTGGAAGCTCCGCTGTCAGGAAGGACCGACCCAGTGGGGACCTCCGCCTTTGCACACGGCCGATTTCCAGTCACTTCCTCAGGAGCATCTGAAACAAGGGACAGAGGATGACCAGGCCCGTGTCTTGCCACCTGCCCCTCAGGGAGGGTCCTCAGTCTTACGGCCGGTGCTGGCCTTGCCCAGCGTGGACTTCTACCTCAGAGGCTGCGATCGTTGGCTTCATGCTTCTTGACGGTACAGACAACTTCCGTGTCCTCAAAGGGAAGCATTCCGTGTCTTTTCGTTTCGAATGTTCTCAACGTTTCCTGAGGTTGGAGGTTGGAAGACACCTTTCTCGTCACAGTTCGGCTCTTCGAAGAGTCGAGGGCGTTGACCCCTGTGCCCTCCAGCATCGCATCAGGGCTGACCTTTGTGACGCCATGATCTGGAAACCAACACAGAAGAGCCATCGCAGCGGAGACTGCGCTGGGGGCGGCGCGGGCGGAGACCGCCACTGAAGGGTAACACCCGGGGCGACGCTGCGCCCTGCCGGCGACTGTCCACTGCCTTTCGCTCCGAGTCACCTCTCGAGGCGCGAGGACAGAAGTGTGCAGGGCCTGGGGGTTGTGCCAAGGAGTTTCATTCCCCCAAGGTTCCAGAAGCCGGAGGAGGGGCCAGGGCGTGAGAGATGTCCGGAGCCCCTGGCGCCGGGCGCCGGGCGCCGGGCTCCGGGCTCACCTGTCCGCTCAGGAGCTCCTTGAGTTCTCGGGGAACCCCGGGCGCTCCGTCTCAGACTTTCCCGCATAGCAGCGCTTGCGTCTTCAGTCCTAACCAAAGAGTACGGTTTTGTAGTAGAAATGTAAAAGAGTGTAAAATGTTTGCAGTTGATTCTCTCATCGCCTCACCTACATCCTTTTAATTTTACTCCAGCCCTCAAAGAATTCAGAGAAATATTTCACTGTGTAAAACCAAAACTTCCACCTACTGTCATTTTCCAACACTCTTGGCTGGTAATGCCAGAAAAATCTTACAGGGAACACTCAGACGTCTACAACCCATACATATCTTACCATCGTCATTCTGTACTTCTTACATGTCTGTCCACCCTTCCATCCACCCATCGATCTTGGTTTTTTAAAGGTCATTTTATTTGTTTATTTTTGGCAGTGGTGGCTCTTGGTTGCAGAGGGTGGGGGCTCCTCTCCCATTCCGTGGGCTTCTCCATGCCGTGGCCTGCCTTGCTGAGGAGCACAGGCTCTGGGACTCCGGGGCTTCAACAGTTGCAGCCCCCAGGCTCTAGAGCACTGGCTCGGTGGTTAGGATGCATGGGCTTAGCTGTCCACAGCATGTGGGATCTTCCCGGATCAGGATTGTGACCCCGTGTCTCCTGCATTGGCACACAGATTCTTTACCCACTGAGTCACCAAGGAAGTCTCATCTATTAAAAAAATTCTTTAATAAAATAAACTGCAGTCATCAGGAAACTGCTCCCTAAGATGTTCAGCTTGCATACAGTTTGCTAGAGTTGAATATTAATTCACAGTTTGTTCCTTTGATGGAAAGTTTTCAAGGAAATGCACACATCTTCGGGTACAGTCTCCATTCTGCGTGACACAGGCATTCTGCCCCTGCAACCCCAAACCCAGCTGAAACAGAGAATGTTACTGTCACCCCTAAAGTCTCCTTGTACCCCTTTCCAAGACAATCCCTGTTGCTAAGGAGACAATAACTATTGCTCTGATCCATATGTTGCTGCATAGAATCCCTTTGTAGGGGTGTACAGGTTTATTTTTCCTATTGATGAATATCTGGGCTGTTTCCAGTTTGGGGTTATTATGGATAAGCTGGTCATGAGCACTCTTTTGTATTTGCATAGCTCTACAGCATGACTTGATCCCGGGGTAGAATTTGAGTTAGGTTTCAAGAGTGCAGGAAGCTGCACATAGTGGAAAATACAGTAAGCCTCCTACGTACGAACGCGCTCCATTCTGAGAGCACATCCACGAGGCCTGTTTGTCCCTAAGGCCAACAGTAGCCTCGGCGCCCAGCTGCCACAGTCAGCTACATGCTGCTGCTTTTACATTTGCTTCTGGGCGTCCGGGACTTGAAATAAAGATACTGTGCTACTATACTTTGGACACCACTGTACAACAAAATGCACAGAAACACAGCCACTTGCAGCGGGTGTACACATGTGACAGTGTACACCAGAATTGAGAGCTACGAAGTGATTGGACAGGAGAATGCAAGTTCACGTCTTTGAAAATTCGGAACTCGAAGGTTCGTATCTAAAGGGCTTCCAACATGAGAAACAGATTTAAGTCCTGAATTAGTCCTTTCTGTTTGGGGTCTCATGGAAAGAGCAGTGCATCAGTTAGCAGATACTTAAGACTTACCTAAACGGGATGAAAGCAATAAGGATATTTGTTACTTATTTCCTGTGTAAGATCTCTGGAGGCAGGGCAATTCCAGGCTGGTTCAGTGGCTCCAAGTGCCATCAAGAACTCAAGAGTACCCCTCACACCCATTAGATGGTTGTTGTACGTTGTTGTGCATCAAACAAACAGAAAAACAGAAAAGAAAATGCTGTTGGTGAAGATGTGAAACCTCGGAACCACTGTGCCCTCTGGGTGTTAATGTTAAGTGGTGCAGCTGCTGTGGAAAAGGTATGGCAGTCCGTAAAACTTTTAAAATAGAATTATCGTATGATCCAGCAATGCCAGTTCTTGGACTATACTCCTAAAGAATTGAAAGCAGCATCTTGAAAAAGTATTTGTACATCCAGATTATGGCAGCCTTATTCATGGTAGCCAAAGGGTGGAAGCAGCCTGTGTTCATTGACATCTGAATGGATACATAACACAAGGTTTATATGTGTGTGATGGGAATATTATTATAATAATTATAATTTTATATAATTTTATTATAATAATTATAACTTTATATAATTTTTATATTATAAAACACATTATATGTATGTGATTTTATATTATAAAACACATTATATGTATGTGATGGGAATACTATTCAGTTGTAAAACAGAAAAATTCTGGCACATCCCACAACTAGGATGAACCGTATGCCAAATGAAATAAGCCAACTCATAAAAAGATAAATACTAAATAATTCCACTTATATGAAGTACTTGGAGTGGTCACATTCACAGACAGAAAGTAGGAAGTAGAATGCTGTTTTCTTGGGGATGAAATGTCGGGGTGAGGCAGGATGGTGAAGTATTTCAGAGCTTCAGTTTTGCTAGATGAAAAAATTCTGGAGATAAAATCATAATTGAGAAAGATACATGCACCCGTATGTTCATAGCAGCACTCTTCACAATAAACATAGAAATAACCTAAATGTCCACTGGCAGATGAGTGGATAAAGAAAGTGTGGTATACATCTGTACAATGGAATGTTACTCATCCAAGAAAAGAATGAAATAATGCCATGTGCAGCACCATGGATGGATCTCGAGATTATCATACTGAGAAATCAGACAGAGAAAGACAAACACTGTATGATATCACTTATATGTGGGTTCTAAAATATGACACAAATGAACCTCTCTATGACACAGAAATAGATTCACAGACATAAAGAACAGACTGGAGTTGCCAAAGGGGGCGGGGGAGGGGTGGAGTGGGAGGCTGGGTTAGCAGATGTGAGCTACTTATACAGGAGGGACAAAGTCCTACTGCAGAGCCCAGGGCACTATATTCAGTAACCTGTGGTAAACCACAGTGGAAAAGAATATGAAGAAGAATGTTTATGTTTTTATAACTGAGTCCCTTTGCTGTACAGCGGAACTTAACATTGTGAAGCAAGTACACTTCAAAAAATGGAGAAGAAAACAATTCTGGAGACTGGTTGCACAATGATGTGACTGGACTTAACACTACTGAACTATATACTTGAAAATGATTAATTTTATGATATGTGTATTTTATTACAATTAATAAAAACAAAACAACAAAAGTTTGTCAGCTTGTGCATGTTTCTCACATTGCAAGTGGGCACCTTGTCAGGCATCACGGCAGAATTACTATGTCCAGAGAAGAAGAGGAGAAACCTTCCTCTTGTGTGTGGGGGGAAATTTCTTTCAGAAGGAGGTCGCCACAGACTATGTGTCTCAGCTGCCACTGGCCAGTTGGGTCTCATTTGGCAAGAGAACCTGGAAAACAAGCATATATATAGTGTCTTTGACTCTCTGTAGAGAGCAGCAGGCTCTCCTGGAAAGAACAAGGGGTTGGAAGACTGCTGTGAGGTATGAAACCAACAGTATTGTCTTCTTCATGGAGTCCTGTTAGGGCGGAAGGCCCTCCTTTGCGAGCTCATCAATGACAGCCACGATCGGTGGTGACCAGACCAGCCTCCCTGTTGATGCAGAAATGATCCTTTGTTGTTGTTGTTCAGTTGCTAAGTCGTGTCCAACTCTTTGTGACCTCATGGATTGCAGCATGCCAGGCTCTCCTGTCCTTCACTATCTCCTGGAGTTTGCTCAGATTCATGTCCATCGAGTTGATGATGCTATCTAACCATCTCATCCGCTGCTGCCCCTTGCCTTCAGTCTTTCCCAGCATCAGGGTGTTTTCCAATGAGTCGGCTCTTCGCATTAGGTGGCCAAAGTATTGGAGCTTCAGCTTCAGCATCAGTCCTTCCAATGAATATTCAGGGTTGATTTCCTTTAGGATGGACTGGTTTGATCTTCTCGCAGTCCGAGGGACTCTCAAGAGTCTTCCCCAACACCACAGTTCAAAAACATCAGTTCTTCAGCGCTCAGCTTTCTTTATGGCCCAATTCTCACATCCGTATTTGACTATTGGAAAAACCATAGCTGTGACTACATGGACCTTTGTCAGCAAAGCGATGTCTCTGCGTTTTCAGTACTCTGTCTAGGATGGTGCTCTTGGCTTACTGCTAATAAACACAGGACTGAGGCAAAAGTACAAATGAAGGCCGCAAGCCTGTTCCCTGTTTTCCACACTCCTGCTTTTATTCCATAGCAAGAGAAGCTATTTTTTTTTAAGGAATTTTGTGACCCTGCTGACTTCACACTGGTGTCTTGAAATTGGCCCCAGTGGGAGTGTTGATACTGTGGAAATCAGTAATACTGCAGATTAGGGCTCCTTCCACCCCAGGTAGCAACGCATTGCTCAGAGCTTAAGATACTGTCCGTGCAGTTCAACTACGACAGCCAAGGAAAGAGGCTTGTGCAGGCTCTGGAAGCAGTCCAGGCCACTCGGGTAGGGGGCTCAGACTGGAGCTGATCTAGAAGCGGGCACCCTTGGCAGGGCAGAGGGGCCAGAGCAGGGACAGGCGTGGGCCTTCTGAAGTGTGATTCGGGGGCAGGGCCCAGAGTCGCCTGGCTGTAGGGAGGTCACGAGAGGGCGACTCTTCTGTCCCCTCCCTCCAGTCCCTGTCTCTGGCTGGATGGGGCAATACCTCCTGATGACCTTCTTAAGCTGGTATA